CCTTTCTTCTGTCCTCTCCTTGCAGTTGGAGGTGTCACAGCTAGAGGGCAGCCTTCAGCAGCCTAAAGCCCAGTCATCCATGTCTCCCTACCTGGTGCCAGACACAGCTGCTCTGTGCCAGCATCTGAACCTCATCCGGCAGCTGGCTGGTAGCGGTTGCTTTATCATCATCATCCCACGAACAGGTCAGTGCACTGTGGCATCTTTTGTCTGGAACAGCGGTACACAGCCGCTGTTTGTACCATTTCCCCACATAGGTGGTGGGGATTAATGGATTTACAGGGATCTTTCTCTTGTTCAGTGATTGTGCTTCATAGGATGACAGAGCAAAATATCAGTCTGAACCTAATCCTTTATAAAAAAATAAGTCTTAAAAGCCTCTCCATAAATTCGCACAATGTTACTCACCGCTAGAATTGGACCCGAGGCCAAGATTATGCAGGAAAAATACCAGGTTGTCTTAACGCTTTCCTTCTCAGATCCCTCGTAGGGGTAATCCTAGTTTCTCTTTTCTGAACTGAACAGTTTCTGCCAGTTTTCAGGCTTCCAAAGCAAAAAGGTTGTCAGATGTCGTGTTTACGGGGGAAAGAGTTGAAACCTTTTTTTCTGTACCGATAAACAAAGTCTTAAATATTTTCCCTCACCTGCTGTAGGTATTTTCAGTGTTAATTTCCCAGACTTTGTCAGTATCTCAAATGTGATAACAGGCAAACGTAGATTTTAACAAAAACTAATTAACTAAAAATAGTCTAGTCGTCCATTTTCTGTTTCTCTTATGGCTTTAGATTGTTTTCATTTCAGTTATTCTTATTGTTATTATTGGAAATTATTCCTGCATACGGCTGGGAATACAGGAAAGAACTGATCCCTTTTATATTTTGGTATTAATGTAATATTTTTAGTCATAAAATACATATTTAAAACTATATATTGGTGACACCTGCAGAAAATCCTGATTGGCACAAACATGCAAGTTTAAATCGGTTATTAATAAAGTTAATCAAGTCCAAAAGTTGTTAAGAGGAGGATTTTTCGTGGCTCAGAAACGGGCCTGTGATAGCGACTGTGCTCATAAACACGACTGATCCACATGTTGGTGAAGACGAAGAGTCTGTGTTACCTTACTTAGAAGTCGATGTGTGTTCATGTTTTTCTATAAGCGAACATGTATTTAAGTTTTAGGAAATGAAGCCTCACTTCTTTCTTTCTTTTTTTCTTTCTTTACTAAGTGAGGTTAAACATATTTTCAACACAGCTTGTTGCTTTTTTTCCCCTTTTGTGGGCGAGTTTGTCACAGATGGAGGCGAGTTTTTATTTCCCCATACAGACTTTGTACAGAAAGGCCACTGTGTGCAACAACATGAAGCAAACCTTTTTCACTTTGTCATTATGGGATGTTGTATGTAGAATTTTGAGGCGATAAATACATAAATTTAGAGCCAGGCTGTAACATGTAACGTAACACAGATTGTGAAAGGAATGAGTGGTGCTGAAACAAACTGATAAATCTATTATCAGTCATCGTGAAAATCAATTTAAGATTTCAAACAACTTCTAAAATCAGTATTTGCTGGTTTGTCTTGTTGTTTTTGAGGCGCTTGAACATTACAAGCAATCTTCACTATTTTATAACTTCTTCTAGCCTAAAAAAATTAACTGATTATTAACAGGAAATTGATTCTTTTATAATTATTTGTTGCCCTAAAAAAAAAAAAAAAAAAATCCTCACTAGTGGTTATGACAGCTCTGGTTTATTTAGTGTGTGCCGAGCTGCTTCCTGACTAATGACACTAGACAGCAGCAGTCGGTCACATGTGCCAGTTTGGGATGACCTAGTCACTGATTGGTTTGGGTGCATACCTGCATTCCACGTGGTGTAAATCATCTCTGGCCGGCACATTATTCCCCTGGCACCACCCCGTGCACTCCCCGTCACTGTTCACTGACTCGCAGGGAGACAAAATACAACAACAATTAAATGAGCTCAGTTCTAGCTTCATTTATGATTCGCCGTCTGCTCAAAGCGTACGAGTCAGAATCAAGCTCCAGACCTTCTGAGCGCTGGAGTTGCTGTTTGCCCAGGTGTTTAATCTGGACTCCCCTTTTCTTTTAGTGATTGATGGACTTGACAGGTTAAAGAAGGAAAATGCTGGTGCGAGGGATGGAATCCGCTTCCTGGAGTCTGAATTTCGTAAAGGCAACAGGTGGGTTAAGTTGTGAGATGAAACATTTATCTCAATAAAAACTCTCTTTAAATCTTATTTCTTTCTTCCTCTGTAGATACATCCGCTGCCAGAAGGAGTCGGGTCGAAGTTTTGAGAGAGATAAGCTGAAGCGGCAGGACATCGAAGCCTGGTAAGCTCTACTTCCCTTCTGCTGACGCCTTATTTGTTCCCGTGAATATGACTTCCAGCTTGACTGACCCAGTTTCCTTGTTTCTAGGCATCTGTACAAGATGGTGGATAGTTGCCGTCAGCTAACAGTCTCCCAGAGCAACGGAGATGAAGATACAGCCGGTATGGTGACCATTCTTACAGGCCATGAAGTAGAGGAGCTTTGCTCTCGGTCAGCAGCGATGAAGGTCAGTAACTTGCTGTATGTTTTATCTCACAGACACGAGCACTCAGGAGCTTTCCCACCTTTAGTTTCTGCTCTTTTGGCTTCAGTGCCGTCTTCACTGCTTCGTGTTCATCACTGTTAAACACGGATCAGTATTTTCCAAGGTACAGCACTGTGCAAAAGTCTTGAGTCACTCCTCATTTTCAAATATTTCTGCTTCCAAGGAGTCGGACTTGGTTGTAATTTTTAGCGCTCAGCCATAAAAGGCTATTGTCGTCACCTCTGCGGGCAGGCACGCGGCATTTGTGATTGCGTTAACTCGAGAATGACATAGGAGCTTCAAATTGATACCAAAGGTGTATCTGCTAAAGATCTCGGATGTATTTGAATCTCAGTGAACTCAACCTCAAGGGTCAGAGGTCAAGTTTTCTGAAAGTCTTGTGAATGCGGTAATTCGAGAAGGAAGTCACCTAAGATTTATACTATAGTTGCATCTGCTACAAATGTCTGGAAAGTTTGACCTCAAAGCCACCATCCCACATTCACCTCATCTACCACTGCTAACAGATGGAGCAGAGGTGGTGCAGGAAACAAAGGAAAACCAAAAGCTGAACAAAAAATAGAAAAAGAACATAAAAAAATGATAACGTAAAGAAATGCATTAAAAAGTCTGCATCCAGGAAGCCCATAGGATGTTACCTCAGTCTGGGCAATACTAAAATGAGAAGTGAAGGGTTCAGCATATTTGAAGCAAACATTTAGGGGAAAAACTGTCTTGCAAGAGTGTTTAACTCACTGGGTCTGTAGGTGAAGTTTATTTTTGGTCTGAGAAGGTGACAAGTTTTGTCACCGCTTGCAGACTGTGGACAAGTTCTGCCTACTGAGCTTAAAAATGTACAAATTTGAGAAATACTTTGTTTTTATCTTCGTGCCTCGTTTGTCTCCACCAGGCGGCGATCCAGGCGGCTGGCTCAGCAGGCATGGAGCTGAAGAACATCGTGGAGTTCTACCGTCAGTGGAAGGAGATTGGCTGAGAGGTCAAAAGGGGAGCAGCTGTCGGCGCTGCGAACAGCTGATCGATCACAACACTTGCTCCCTCTCTCTTTCTCCCACTCTTTTGCTCTGTGTGTATCTGCGTCTCCAAAGGCAAAAAAACAACTCAAAAGAAAGCTGGATCGAGGAGTTAAAAAGCTTAGAGGGTTGGAAAAGTGAATAGTGGAGTTAAAAAAAAATTTTTTTTTTTTAAAGTAACTAAAAAAAAGAAAGGCGGGCGAAACGACGCTATAAGAAACAGCAGATCTCCCACTCCTAATCCGAAACATAAAGAGTGACCCCTAGTGGTCCGGGTGAGGAAATGGCGGGATGACGCTACACAATTTTAAGTGCCCCTGGTTCACTCCCTAACCAGGAATACACTGTATATGTTAGCAAACGAGTACATACGTGTTGAGAGAAACGGCGAGCACACAAACACATTCAAGCTGAATCCATATAGATATTTAGAGCAGTGGTTTGGATTTCCGTTCCCTTTTTCCCCTTTCCCTTCAGTCTGTATTTGAGAAGCAGGGTCAAGAATGTGCGAGTCTGGTGGGGCTGTGTTTTTGTAAAGTCAAGGCTGTATGACGACAGCTTCGAGACAGAGAAAGCGTGCTCTGTTCACCTGACGCTCGAGGCTTCCAGCCCTCATCTCGTAGCTCGTCAGCCTCTAGGAAGGGTTGAGGAAGACTTCTCTGCGAGCGGTTTCTTTCCTATGTGACTTTTTTGGGGGGGTTTTGTTTTTCTTTATTTGCAGTGTACTTTTGTGACCAGTGACTTATGTATTGTGCTATCTCATTATGAGAAAAGGAAAAAAAAACACATGACAGGCGTTGCCCTGTTAAAGGTTTTAATTTGGATTTTATTTTTGTACCCAAATGATGTTGTTTATTTTGCTTTTTCTAAGCTAAATCTGAATGATATATGCAAGAATGTTTAAGGGAAAAGAAAGGGGTTGCTGTCGTGCGTGGATCAAGTAAACAAACCTTCAGTTCTGAAAATTAAAAGGAGCCTAGAATCTATTTATCGAGGTGTAACGTTAGTGTGAGGAGGGTAGCTAGAAGCCGATTGGCCTCATGTTGTAGCTAGTCGTTGTGGAGGCTAAGAAAAGAGAAGGAGCTAGCTGGCTTTTCCCTGAGGAAGGTGGGACCCCTGTAAACTCCTAAAATGTACCCCATCTACATCACCATTTCCATAGTGACTGTCCCATCTTGCACTGTGCAAAAGAAAACCAGTATATGTGTGTGGCCATGCATTGAACAATAAAAAGAAACTCTCAACAATGTTGACCTCTTTCTTCTTATCAGTCCCCTGTGACCCTATGTCACCTTTTGTTTTCACCAGATCACTAGAGTGATAAATCAAATAGGCGATAAGCAGAAACCTCGGGACACGAAACCTGTGAAGACAGCTCTGTCCCCTGCAGCTGGGAAGGGAGGTTTCTTAAACAGCCTTTTAGATAAAAAACAGCACAGGGCTGCACTGGGGTTGTTTGGGAGTGGAGCTGTTTTCACATACTTGTGAGACATGAAATACAATCCAGGACTCTGGTTTTAGTTTGGGATACCAGTTCCACGAATTTAAAGGCTTCTTGGAAGCAAAAACCCAGCATACAGGTTTGTGAAACTCAGGATTTTACATGCCTGGAAAGTAACTGTAATATCAGCAGTTGTGAAGGGTACAATACTTATATTTTGCTAAAGCTACACAATCATCCACCAGCACCTGTTTTGAAAAAAATTTAATTATAAAGCAGAATGATTTAAAGTATGGCTTCAGAGTGGCTACCCTACGAGGTGTGGTGTCCTCCTTTTTTCAGATTCACCCGTTGCTCGTGATGTCTGGGGCAGGTTCAAACCTGAAGCTGGTATGCAAGTTTTGCTGTTGTTGACACTTTGATTTGCACCAAAGCAGGTGATGTGGAATCACTGCTATCCATGAAGTGTAACTGACTTTGTATTATGCTGTGATGTTCCCCTGATTTGTTGAGCAGTGTAGATAAAACTCCAGCTGCAACATAAATGTGTGATATACAGTGAATCAATAGTTAAGATCTTTAGGTACTTTGAGAATATTTTGATGCTAAAGCTTTTGCACTTGAGTAGGAGTCTGACTTTAACACAAAGACTCAAATTCCAGATCTAAAATCCCTGCAGCGAACCTGAGTGACCCAAACCTTCTCAACTCTGCAAATCTATCCAAGGCCTCTCTCAAACTAGGTCTCCATGTGCCATTCGTTCTCTTCTTTCTTCCATCTCTTGTGTTCTTCTCTGTCCCAGGCCCAGTGCCCACCACTGACCGAGCACACAGAATAACCAATCCCCTGGCAGCAGAGCCAGTGCCACCCCAGCAGCAGGCGGCTGGCATCGGTGTTGGCCCATTTATTTTGCTGGGTAAGGGGGTTGGGAAACTTCGCTGACCCGAATCAATCCTCTTTCTGAGAGCTCATGAAGCTGTGAAGCTGCAGGGACTTTGGAGTGGAAGGACCGGGCTGCAGGGACAGGATGAACGGTTTAAACATACGCAAAACTTGTTAGATTTACCCCCCTTAGTTAAAAGCATCTGTAATCTGTGTGAGAAATGTCCATGCAGGGGTCTGTGCTCGCTTTGGGGAAATGTCTCGCCTGCTTGGAGTTTATGCGTAAGTAACTTCTCTGTGCTTGAAATCTACATGTGCGCCTATCGCCGCTTTCGTGCATTTGTTTGTTTGTTTCTAGTTTAGAAGTATGCCTCATTGTTTCATACTGTCATTGTAAATGTTTCCCTCTCTGTCGGTGTTTCCGGAGCTCGTGTCCTCTGTTGTCTCCCGATCGTGAAAAACAAGGTTTCTTTTCTTCCCCACATCCATCCCGAGGGGTGGGATTCCAACACTAGGGGATCCGGCAGTGTTTTTTTTTATTTTGTTAGTGCAGGAATGTGCAGAGGGAAAGGGAGACAAGTAGAGGAGGGGTCGTGTTTGATACAACAGGAACGAAACCGAATGGGGCATTTTGATGGAAATGGAAGTTTTTCTTTCCTCCCCCGAAAATGTTTCTTCTCTTGTTTTCACCGGAATCACCCAAGGGCGGACACACGAAGCTGGAGGGTTAGACCAGAGTGCTGCTCATAAGCTCGGCGACGATCTCTCCTCATAGCAGGGACTCCCGCCCCACTCGGTGCATCTCTTTCTAGGAACTGTGTAATGATCTGTGCACCCACTCCCTTTCCTCCCGTAAAGTGAAACTGGAGGGTTTTCCTCGTAAGTCGCAACTCCTTATAGGAATTTGCAGGGAGGAACCGTACAAATGTGCTGTGTCGCAATGTTCAGGCCATACACGTGTTTGCGCTGCGCATCCTGCATCAGGCTTTGTTTACGCGCGTTCGCGCCTGCGTGCTCCTGCTTAGCGTTTTTTATGTACTTACAATAATAACAGGAGAGTCTGTAAAGCTGCTTCTGATTAACAGTTTGCACAGTAACACGATGCGTTTCTCATATGCACTCAAATGTGGTTTTAAGGTACTTTTACTTTTAGTATTTGTAATTTCAGGCAGTGAAAAAAGAAGCTATCACTACACCCGAGTTAAAATTATTTCACATTTTACATGTAAAACATGATCGTAAACCTTTAAGCAAAGATGCAACACATCATTAACATATTCATGAAAGTAAACTGTCCGGTTTTTGTGCTTATCAGCACTTTTTCCGTTACTTTTTATGCGTTTGGCTGATAATCCTCTTATCTTGAATGGAGCACTTGTGTCATTTTTTCATTGAATTCAAGTATCAGCAACTCATTAGTGATGTGTTTGATATCATTTGAATGATTACTGACAAAGTCAAACTAAACTAAATATTCTTAATATGTTTTTCATTTTTAATGAATTATTTAATGCTAATGTTTGAGTCCTAAAACGTTCAAACTTGAACTTGAGACAATACCAAAGAGACAAACTTGATGATCTCATTCAGGGAGGAGGAACATGTGCAGCTGGGGGTCACTGCACATGTGCTGGAGAGTTTTATAACTAATGTTGCATTAAAGGGGGCGGGGCCAACCCTTCAGGTTTTTTTCTTTCTTTCTTTCTTTCTGGTGAATATGCAAGGCTATTTTAAGAATGCATGGTAATGTGCTTTACAGATGGATTTGATGTGGGTGTTTTTCATTTGTTGGATATATTTTGACAAAACGTTACAGCAAAGGCAGTGTTTTTTTCAGCAGCCTTAAAATATCAATGACATATTTTGGCAAGTATGTCATTCATATGTAGTACTGAGCCCAGTTTCCAACTTGGAATTTAAAATTTTTAGCCAGTAATGATGCAGCAAAGAAATGTCTCAATGCTTCCTAATCTTTCAAACAGCTGCTTTGAATAGTGCAGTGAAATGAAGCGGTGCTGTCAGGAAGGCATGCGTGAAACTAAAATGTCCTTTGTTTTTAAAGTCACACAGTTCTGAGTTTGGATGAACTCAAACAGGACGTACGATGGCAGTGAAACTGAATGTTTGTCTGGCGCTGAATAAAACAGGATGTCCTATCTGGTCAAAGCTTAGACAAAAGAGTCTCCCTGCAGGTTCATGAGAAGGCTGACGTAAATAATCATGTGCAAAGTAGAAGTGACAGCAAGTCGCAGGCAACTTGAGTAACTGTAATCCTGAGGAAGTGTCACCGTGCTGCTAGAGGTGCGATTGGTTTTGCTGAGGCATTACGGAGTGACTTCCAGTATTTGACCAGTATCACAGACATCACTGTGTTTACCTCTGTCATGAGACAATCATGGCTTGACGATGCTGTCAGTGAGCGCATCCTCTCCAGAGGATGATTCCTCCTGATTCTGGTGGTTGTCATCTGTTAACGTGCAGCATAATTCCCTCTGACCAAGTAGACTTTTTCATGTACAGGAGATTTTGAAAAATGTTTTAAATTTTACTGATATAAAATTAATATGACACCATTTGATAATAATTTGAGGCCAAAATCGACCTCAAGCATCAAGTGAAAGAATCCAGCAACACAACCTAATGTAAGACACACAGGGAGGATAAACTAAGACATGAGTATTGAAACAAACTACAAAAACCCTGTCAGTTTAAGCTGCCGAAGATCAACAAAGCAAACAAAGGATAAAATAATAACTAAACCCTCTTAAAGAAAACTAAAATTCAACAGCAAAACTGCACTACAAAATATCACCACTGCCCCCACTGCCAGAGAAACATGGTGCAGTCCAGTTAACAGGTCAGCACTATTTAAATGGGCAGCAACGACCCAGGAGCTGTAATTCAAACACAGCTCGAGTACAGCAGCACTGAAGAAGGTAGCTAAATCTGTGCTTCTCAAAAAGATATGACATGTTATGGAAACATAACATGTTTTAGGGCTATTTCTTTATTTTGTCTATGTATATTTTAAATGTTGTTCTAAAAGAAGGAAGGCCACATTCTGGGTGGAAGGGGCTGCTGACGTAACTTTTCAGTCATTTTTAATTTTCTTTTTTTTTACTGAAAGACAAAAGCAGCAGATCAGTGGAAGTCGTCAGGATCACTCCTCTGAGCGGCATGAATGCGTGTACCACATTATGTAACAGTCCATCTCATGGCCGTTTAGACATGTTGGAAAAAACCAAAGAAGTTTTGTCATGGTGGTGTTTGAGGAAGTCTCAAAGTCAGTGAGGACCGCGAGGTTAAAACCTCAAATATATTACAGGTCTGCAGAAACAAACCAAACCAAAGTAGCTTTTGGTCAAAAGTGAGTCATGATCAGATGCTTTTTGTTATTTCATTTACCGAGGTAATGTGATGCTTAATTTCACGATAAAGGGTTTTTTAACAAAAGGAAAAAAAAGCAAATTGGCAGCTACAGTGTTGCCAAAATCTGTCACATGTTTCTGCAGTCTTCTTGTGGAAACTCACTGAATACTAACCTGAACAGTAAACATGGGGCTAATCCTGCAAGTCATATCTATAAGGGTAGTGAATAAGCCACAAGGGCAACAGAGATCTGAGCAGAGAGAGATCATGTATGTTTTAACAAGCTTTATTTAGGCTGCAAACATTTCACTACAATTCCATATTTTACTGTTAACAGCAAGACACCCATAGCTAATTGATATTTACTACCCGTTATCATCAAAGTTCTTATCAATTCAGTTTTAGTGTTTCATGAAATGAGAGCTTAGAAGGAAAGTTATAGACCAATTATTACTCAGTAATTAGGTCAGTATCGCAGTTACTTATATGAAGTAGTTTTAAAATGATTTGCATTTTTTAATAACATCCCTAAGAAATTTTACAGTTGTAATAATCATTTATTAATATATCTGTTTGCAGGTTTTAGATGACCAGCTTTTCATCTTTGACCCCTTTCTTCTTGTGTTTTGTTCTATACTTACCATGCTATCTTTGGAGGGTAGTTAGGTGTAGAAGTTTCAGTCTGGACCGTAGTGGTGGAGCACTGGGCTACTGACTGGTCTTGCACTTGATCCAAATTGTACATCTCCTTAAGAGCTGAGTCATAGTGTTACACTGCTGTTAGGTCTAAAGGTTTGGGCAGCCCTGGAGCCAAAAACATCTCCAACATAAAGGAGGGAGAGTTAATACCAGGTATGTCAGTAATTATTGTTTGTGCCTGAGGCAACAGCCACTTCTGTGGCTTCATAACGCAGCACATACTGAGCTTAATATAAGCTTACACGAGTTTTAATGAAGTGGAAGTTGTTTTTTTAAGCATTTATGGAAATGGCCAAAATTTAGATAATATTAGTCTTACTTAATATGATAAGCCCTCACAAAGCACTATATTTTGGACACAAAGTTTGAGAGAAAAGCCGTGCAGAGGACATGCAAGCTCCCCACAGAAACACTCAAACCCTCGCCCTGCGCCAACTGTGCTAAGTATAGCACCACCGTGCTGCTGGTTGTGTTTCATAGTATATATCCACAAATATAATCACTTATTAACTTTCATGTTAAAATACTGCACAATCATAAACATCAACAAATGCTTAAAAAGTACTACTTACTTAACAAAAAACCCCAAAACTGCACTTATAAGTCAGTGGTTGAATAAATGTACTGTTTCTTTCCACCACTAGACCCACGTTACTGATTCACAGGACTTTACTCTTTCCCACGGTTACTATTTCCTCTTTAGCGTCCTGCCTCCATTAGTTTCTACTTGACTTGACTGGTTTTCATTGAAAGCCATGCCCTAAAGGGTATTCAGTCTCTTTTTACTGTAGATCATGTTGTATCAAATAATACTAAGAGAAGTGAATGAGGACATAAAATTATCAGTAAAGTTTTTATTGAGCTCATAAATAAAAGCCAACAGTTATTTATCTATTTGTTTGTTTGTTTATTTTGCAAACAGAGGCCTCATCCTCTGCTGGTCATTAGGAGGAATGCAGAAAAGTAAAGTCCATAAATGTGCTAGATTATGAGTTTTACATTCTTTTACTTTTATGACCTCTATGCCATACCTTATACAAAACCAACCATGCACGTAAATAAATAATTGAATAATAGAATGAATTTGTAAATTTCTAGTTTTGTCATATTCAGTCCTTCATATTTCAAGCCTGAATTCCAAAACTGTTGTAGTCCTTTGTAAAATGTAAATAAAAATGTAATGTAATATTTTGCAAATGTCATAAACACATTTT